ACTATTAGCCAATTTCATGCTTTTTTGAGCAAAAATAACAGCTTGATTCACTCGGTGGTAATGCAGTACTATCTAACGGATCTTCAACTAAGTTGGGATCATAATTCAACTCTAGGCAGAGGAAGACATTTTACAAATATTGTGATCTTTAAATTGACTCAATCGAACATGATTCAATGTCAGGATGATCCTAATTGCCTTGCAAAGCAATAGAAATTGCTTAGAATGAGTGCCTATCAATAACTTCTATAACTTATCACATATTTTTAGAATATTATCTGATCGTAAGATTTTGTATAAATCAAGGGTTTTCCCTGTTTGAGATGTTTCTCCGATATGAGCCGACTTGATGAGGAGGAAACATTTTCTAATGTTGTGATTTTTAAATTGACTTTAAGCTGTGGGATGATGGGATGGTAAACCAGAATTGTAAATAATGCCTGCAGCGCTTATACATTGTAATTGAAATAAATTAATGATAGCCAATTTACAATGTTACAGCTTATAAAGTCAACTCAGTAGGCGAGATAATAGTAGATTTGGTAAATTCGAGGAATAGATAAAATCACAAAGACAAAAAAGCTTTAAAATGGACCAAGAAATAATTACAAACCAGTTACCAAAAATTCTGGTGCATAAGTTCCTGAAATACAACCCTGGAAGTACTTCAGCAGAGGTTCTAGTTGAACATAAGGTAAAAATGAGTTTTCTTTATTTTCACACTTGGAGTTGATTACAGGGCCAATGATAGGAATGCTTCGAGACAAATCTGAACAGGTTTCCTTAAAATATAAGCTATTTGCACGAGAATAAAATAGATGGGATCACAAGAAAAAAAGTAATTTGTGGATATAATTGGTGGAGTTATTATACAAGGGGATTTAAAAAATGATTGCAGCTTACAAATAAAGCTATCAACCTGCCAAGTGTTGAATATATTGTAGCATAAAACAATACCACGTTTGCTTTAGTTGGTTAAAGGTGTTAGAACACAGGAATAGTCGCAACCAACAATGACTTTTCTAGTGCCCAGGTTAAGGGGTTTATATCCATTAAAAATTTATCTGTACCCAGTTGGATATCTATTTGCACCCATTGAAAATCTATAACATTTATTTGCAACCCATCGAAAATCAATTTGCACTCAGTTGAAAATTCATAAATATCAACATATAATGGGACGAATCTATATTTTAGACATTTTTTATTCAAAAAACGTGATGCATGAATTATTTATTCTCAAGGTTAAAAGATACATCATTTGATTTAACCTCTAGCTTCATTATGTTCCTATTGAGCTGGAATATTGATATTCTTGCATGTTGCTTTTTCATCACTGACCCTGCCTCAAAGGTAGATCGATGAAAGGGACGGGCATATACAAGGTACTTAACAATATCTAATATATCCGCAATGCCAAATTGAAACATGATCGCTCGGCTCTGTGCTCCAAACTGCTCAGGGTCATTGGATTAGAGTGTACACAAGATAATCAGGTTAAAAGCACAAGAGAATTCTCAGAACTATGCCATGAATCTCCAAACTACTCTCTGACCGTTTTAGATATTTTGGGATTTGATGATCTTAATAATCTCAAGTATACCTTTTGTGGCATTGTATTAGATTTTGAATATGAAAAGAATGTTGGATACTAGGCAGAATTTGTAGTGTTTTATTTCTGAGTACATATTCTGATTGAAGAATGTAGAGAAAATACATTTCTGGCAAAGGATACTATCAATATTTTGAAGGCATAATAATAGCAGGAGTGAAAGAAATTGCTGTTTAATTATAGGATATCCTATGATTTTGAGGAATATCATTTTTATCTACGAGGTGATATTGATATCTGCACGAGAGAGCAAAGCGAACGAGTGCATATATCAATATCACCGAGTAGATTAAAATGATATTCTGAAAAAAAATCATAGGATGTTCTTATTATCCTACACTTAAAAGGAGTGTACTAAATGTATAATATCATTGCAAAATGAATTTCATGCCAAATAGAGTCAATTTGGCGGGAAATCAACAAGCGGAGTATATCGTCACAATATCCTCCGCATATTGGGTTTTCCGGAGTATATCGTCACGATATCCTCCGCCCGGAGTATATCATCACGATATCCTGCGGTTATTCATTTTGCCAATAAATATCAAATTTATTTTTTAATGTTATTATACATTTAGTACACTAAGTGTAGGATAATCAATGATATATAGAAGTTTTGAACTTCAGTTTTAGCATGTCATTTCTTCAGAAAAATTAACCAGTAACACCAAATAATATACTGAAATAGCAGCTTTTCAGAAAAATGTAGCATATGAATTTAATCGCAAAAATCTGACTCGTTGCAGTTGCGAGAGAGGTAATGCTACCAATCTAAAATACTGACAATCATGTAACATTAGGTTGTCATATTTTACAGGGTTTCGATTGGTGAAATGAACGAAACAAAATTTTCATCCCATGGAAAAAAAGTTTTATTCAGTTTTCTTAAAAATCCTTCTAATTTCACTTTCTGACAAATGATACATTTACATATACTATGTTGAAAGGGTTTACATGGTCACATAGACCATTCTATCAAAAATATGATTTCTTTCCCTTGAAAGATAGAATCTGCCTTTATATTATTATGAAATAGACTTAAACATTTGCGAATTATCATTGTCAAAAAACTAGTTTAAGAAGAAAAGTTGTTGATCCAGAAAAATCGAGCTAACCTAGGAAAATATATAATATAATAGCGAACAAACATGATTTGAGCAAAAAACAGGTTATTATGATCCAATTTTAAAAGCTTTTGGAAATACTATCCTTTGTAGTGTCAGTTATTAAGTATATCTAAAATTGCCATTTGTAAGATATAAGTTACTTTACATATGTAATGTTGCCCTTTGTGCTATGATTAACAGATTAAGTCCCTTCTTCGTTTTCTTTATTTTCTTTAATAATTTCACTATAATATAACATATCAACTGACCCATGTGTCACAGGTAAACCAAAGCTAAACAACCAAAAGGCAGTTCCGCCATAATAGCAGAGGACCTTCATGCAGAGGTTCAATGGCAGCATTCTTTGTCTGAATATGAGAAATTGAACATTGTGTTCACATCAGATATAGTATAACATATATAGGCAGATTATGATCAATAATATGGCTATTGAGGGTAGAATACAATGTAATACAACAATTGCCAGGAACGCTGAATCCCAGATAGATAGAACACATAGTGCTAACAATACAGCCCTTTACAAAACCTTGATGTGCCTAATATCTAAAAGTCCTTTATGAACATCAAAGGGTGTTTTAAAGACATCTCTGCAATTAGCTATATGTTCCTCATCAAAAATAAGAAGCATTGACACTTTAACACCAGAAAAATCTTTCATCTATAGCATAAATGCATGATTTGGCCAATTACAGGGATCAAAAGCTACGTTTTTATGAGCGGGAAAAATGAAATTGAGTCAATAGAGAATCCAATACCAGGATATTTGCTTATGGAGACATCTAGAGCTGTAGAACACAAGCCCATGGTATCTTGGGATAGCAGCGGCTCTTTTATCTGTGTAAATGATCTGGTATTAGATAATCATGCTTTCTATAGAAATCATCCCCCAGACCAGAAATAATAATATTAATTACGTTCTACATGCTAATGACCTTGTCAAGTACATTTTCATGAGCTAGTGTATATGCTGTAAATCTATTTAGTTTAAAAACATATATTATAATGTTATTACATATTATATCAATGACAATAATCAAACTGGAACTTATTATAAAACAAGGCATAAAGTGATTAAGATCTTGCTTTAATAGCCATGAATTAACGAGTACTCCAAAAAATGAACTAGATCTTGGCACCTGGTTTGTTTTGCATCTGTTTCAAGTTAAATGGAAAAGTAATTTTCTTGATGACAAAATATCTTGAGCTACCTGACCACCCACACACGTGCTACAAGAAGCGACAATTATAACAGCACTGTTAAAATGTGTTAAAATTTATAATTAGGTGCAACATTTATCAAAAATTAAATGATTTGAGATGCAGTGACAGTTCATATATATTCATGAACAAAGATTTAATTTTCGTGCCTACTTATTGTATCTCCCTAGTGCTCGATCCATCAATGTAACATGATTTAACCAATAGAGGCAGGCCCTTAGTCAGGGGGGTTCGATGGATTTGAGCGAACCCCCCCCTGGCCCAAAAATATTTCTAAATCATGCAGTTTTCACCATTCTGAGCACTTATTAAGTGATTTTGGCCATTTTTGGACAAAATTGTCACAAGTGAACCCCCCTGGAATTATTCAAAAAGTGAACCCCCCCTCTTGGCAAATCCTCCTGGCTACGGGCCTGAGAGGGGTTAAGGCTAGCATATTTCACACATGTAACCAACCCATTTACAAGTTGTTGCCTTTTTCACTTTAACGTTTAATATTTTTGCGGAAAATCAATTACATGTTGCCATCTCTCGATTCCTATCAATCAAAACAGCTGACCTGGTCAAATGATCAGGGCAGTGGTCGCTGAGGGGCAATAAAAGATACATTAGTCAAACAGCAATCCTAAAGATATAATTTAAAACATATTTATAACACAACTATGACAATTTAATGATTTTTGTCGATTTTCAGTCACTTTCTCAGATTCAAACAGTTGTAAAGTTTTAACTTTCCTCTACAAAATCTTTGGAAATCTTCAGAAATATGTCTTCATGTACTATTTACTAATCATTTTTCAAGGTTTGTTACCTATTTCGATATATTAAGATAACTCAAGAAGTTTTTTTTAGTTTTTTTCTCATTTTCACAATTCACAAAATCTGAAGTGGGTGCCATGCCCACTTGCTTGACTGCAGAAAAGCACTGTATAATATTTGATTGCCGTAACATAAAAAACATGTAATTCCATTTTTGAAGTCGTCCATTTTTACAAATCACATGTTGATAAAAAAACAAGAAAGGCCTTGAGATTTCTACTTACCGTGTGTAGACAAACAGTGTACCTTCGATATCAGTCTTTTCCTGAAAATACAAAGTTAATCAATCATGTTACGTTGATTTGCACATAAAAATAATATTGATACACCAAACAATGATAAGTTCAGAAAAATAAATTCTTTTATGATAAAAACTTCAAGAAAACAGCAGCCAGATGAAAATATGAGCGAAATATTTATACATTGATAGACATTTTGTCAGTTTTCGTTTGCTACTCTGGATATTTCATCTATATATTTTTCTTGTTTTAGTATCAGTTTAAGGTGAATGTTACAAACAGCAGTGCTAAATTCTGAAGAAACGGTCTATTTTCAATAGTAAAATCCATTGATTTTCTCATAATTTTCAATATTTTCTAATAATACATAGACCTAAATTGAGTTCGCAAATACACATAAATAGTACAAGATCACAATAATATATTACGCTTACAAAGTTAGAGAATTAAACAGATCTATAGAGAAACCAGATGACATAATTACATAATAATACGAACAGTGCTTGAGATCAATGAGGTGAAAACAAAACATGCAACTATCCCAATTGAATTAAGGATGTAAATAATGGTTGAATCTGGCAAAGTAGTTGTCTATAGATCAGATCACGACATTCTGGAGCAGTCGATAGAAGCTAGTAGTACCCTACTGCGAAGTTCGCCATTCACAAAATTACCAAGGCATTAAACAAACCAAATAAACCTAAAGGATAACTCACAATAATAGTCTCATAAAATACGATTATTCTATGATTTTTTCTAGCTTTACAATAACATTAGGTTAGACTTGTTATTTGATATGAAAACATTTTGTAAGGGGTGACAATATATGTATAATAATATCAGAGTTTTAACAATAAATCCATTAGACTTCCACCAAGTTGTTCCAGTGATCTCTGCTACTATACATACTGACTATTTGAGCAGATAATGATGGCATACACATCAAGAACATGGATCTATATCTACAATCTAGTATGTAAGATAACAAACGTAATATATAGGAGTTAAATACTGAAACGTGAAAATGAACAAGAGGATTCTAAAGGATTAATAACACACAACTGAAATGGTGAGTGTATATAATTTTTGTAATTATAATAATTTTATCATAATGGGATGGTTGTACAAAATCTTTTAAGTCTAAAATCAATAAATCACAAATTCAAAAAATCATTCGGCTTGAATCCCAAGTAAGCAAGAGATGGGATCTATATCAACGGTCACGTTCAACTTTTATTTAGGAAATATTATATTGATCATCCTATGTGAGGTGCAGGATATTGAAATATCCTAGGCTAAAAACAATACATTAGCCAAAGGGCCAGGGGGAGTTACATTCTACTGACCAAGGGATAATCCGATTATTGTGAACCAATAATGGAATGATCTGTTTATCCCATCAATAGGTAATATTTTCTGGGGGCATCTGAATATTCTCTTTAAATTTTCCCATAGTGGATGACTACAAAAAAAATCAACAAAGTTGTCAACAAGAAAATGAAATACAGAGTCATATTTTCAAAACGATGTCACAATTATATATAATCTTTTACATATATATGTGTTGTAATCTTTGAGACCACTTACCAGAGCAAGTTAGAGCACTTGCAACAGTTATTAAGTTAGAGTACTTTCCAGAGTAAACGAAATATAGATCGATCTTTTATGTGAATAATAAAGTACTTAGATGGTGAGGAAAAAAGTAACATTGATCTTCTACATAACATTGTCATTTCTAAATGGAATTAACGCTACATGTATTATGTACAGTGAAACCTATAAAGTGAAACAACTCTACATGTTGAACACCTGTAAGTAGAACACCATTCAATTAAACACCTCCAAAGTGGAATATACCAATCAATTACCAATTTCTATAGTTTAATTTTGCCCCTTTAAAAGAGAGCTTCACCAACACTCTTCAGGCCCATAGCCAGGGGGGGGGTTACGGTTGGGTTCGAGCGAACCCCCCCCCCCTCCTGTTAAGTGTTTTGGCCATTTTTGGACCAGAATTGTCACAAGTGAATTTTTCAAAAAGTGAACCCCCCCTTGGCCAATCCTGGCTATGGGTCTACTCTTTGAGTTTGAGGTAATCCTTTGATCTACCTTTACATAATCAGAATACTGAGAATACAGTCTATCAAAATGCAGCTATCCGATCAAAATGCATTCACTTATTTTAATAAGTACCAGGCATTCAATTCAATCAACAATGAAAATCTCATTTAAACCTCTTGAATCCCAGGATCGAAAATCAGTTGAAACCAGAGAGTTATTCATATTTGCCACCTTTTGACATTTTACTACATACCTATACAACTTTAGAAGCTAAACTTAGGAGAATTAGAAGACAGAGATCATTTCTACACATTTTACAACAATTTTTGTGTAATTTGGATCAAAATTGTTCAAATAAATCAATTTTAGTGAAACATTTTATGACCGATTTTCTTGTCACTTTGGGTTTCAAGGTCATTTCTGAGGTGACAAGAAAACTCATCACTTCAGGTAGTCAAGAGGTTAAAGGCTATGACAGCTACTTTTTGGGTTGGTTAGATTTTATTAGCATCAACAATTATAAGTAAAACCTGCTAAGTGGAATACCTCTGTAAGTAGAACACCTCCAGAATTAGAACACTTTTCAGAGTCCTATGACCAACTGCCTCAATGACAAATGAAAAAATGTAAGCAGAACACTTTATAAGTGGAACACTTTTTAGAGGTACAAAAGGTGTTCCACTTATACAGGTTTTACTGTACATGTAGTTTTTCTCTTATTCAGAGTCTTATGATATGGCATAATGCTAACTTCGTCCCCCATTGCTTAACCTACCTTTTGCATTCGTTCGACTTCGCTTCTCAAAAGAGAGCTTCGTATTTACTATTTCAGTTTTCAATAAATCTCTGAACTCACTAAGCTAATCAGAGTTTGTCGTCTCTAACGTACTCACGTAATTATTGTGTAAGCATTTATAATATGTTCCTTTCAGCTCACTGATTGGTTGAGAAAGGTCAGCGTTATAGGTCTGAAATGATTTATGACCCGAGTTGTCAAAGGCATCGGTTGTGAGGGCGGGCCTGCTAAACTGTAATATAGTCTAGACTAGGCAAAGGGTGGGTACCCTTGCCCTAACAAGCCTTCAGCTAGCTTTGCAAATGGGGGTATCAAAAATCCAAGGGAGTTAACATTTGACAACTTGGACCTAAAATCAGTTGGAAAGTACCCAGAATGATGAAAACTGCATGATTTTGAAAGAATAATTGGCCAGGGAGACAGGTCGCTGGAACCTCCTGAACCTACTTGGCTACGTGGCTGCAGAAGTATCATTTTTCAACAACCATTAATTCTGAAATACATGTTTATACTGTATTATACACGAAACACCACTATTGGTAGTCACAATGATCTGATTAATCAAATAGTTAACTAGCATTATCTAGGAGATAAATTCATATCATTAGGCAAAATTCATGATCTGCTGATGTAAAATTGAACTTATTAGTTTACTGGTACTCGAGTAGATTTTTATAAGAAAAAGCAAGTTGCTTCAGATATACTCTTGAATCTTGAAATTTCAACAAAAAGTATCATTCAAATATTAACTTATCAGGTAGTCATAACAACTCAGATATTCCCTATTGTCAAAAGTGGTATTCCCATGGTCATTAATGATATATATTCTACTGTCAAAGTGGTATTCCCCATGGTCATTAATGATATTTTCTTCTGTCAAAAGTGATATTCCCCGTGGTCATTAATGATATTTTTCTTCTGTCAAAAGGGGTATTCCCCATGGTCATTATGATATTTTCTACTGCCAAAAGGGATATTCTCCATTGTCATTATGATATTTTTACTGTCAAAAGTGATACACTCTTAAAAACAAATATATACTGTCAGAACCCTGGTTTGATCTTAATATATGAACTTGAAGGCCTAGAAATCTTCAAGATGCCAGTATAATATAGAAAATAGTTCAGTCAGACAAGATGAATCACTTGGTGTATATGTTAACACATACAGGCATACAGGTGTGCTTTTGCTAACCTGTCTTAAGATTGTTCAACCTCCAGCTTAAACCCTGGAAAAAAGACCATGTTAAAGGCACAAGCTTAACAGAGTGCAAGTAGATCTAAAGACACGAGGGGAATTAGCAATCAAACTGGTACAAAATATCCCCAAGTGAACTAAAAAGAATAAAGTTAAACATATTTAGATTTGAATATTGGAACATGCGAGATAAATTAAATATTTTTGTACAGGTAGATATCATGTACTACTATCTCTCCAAAAAGATTCTGTTCATCTCTAGCTATTGATGTGCTTGTACACTTTCTGATCATCTGGTGATAAAAACCAATTAATCAATATCTTTGTTATGGAAGAAATAAATCTAGCTGATCCAACACCTATCGGCATATCATTGTTATTTGATATGAGTGAGTTACCGATAATTTATATTAAATCCAACATTAGTACTTCTCTGACAAAAGATAGTCTTCAGTGATCTCCAAAGGATATTTTCTCAAGTGGATGCAAAATTCTCATTTTCACAATTCAGACTAAAATTGGTCAAAATATGCCCACTTTCATAATTTTTCTCATTTTCAAGTGGGTGCAAATGGATTTTCAGGTGGGTGCAAGCCTATTTTCAAAATCTCAGGTGAGTGCTACGCCCACTTGCTTTAATGCTGGGGAGATCACTGGTCTTAACCGAAAGCAATGAAAAACTAGTTAACTTTTCAAGGTTAGAACAGAGGAATTTTCAGTTACCATTGTTAGAAATAACAGATAACATCTTTGGCACACTTTATATATTCTTCATAGAACACCATAAATCTTTGATAATTTCACTGAGATCTACTAAAAACCACCATGTATGAGAATCTATGACTCCACTGAGTGTGATAATAATATTAAAAATTCATACGTGTGACGACTGACAAAATGTCTCAAAGGTAAGGTTCGATATACATTGTAGTCTCCGTTAATTTATCGCTCTTCGTTCTTCTGCAAAGTTATCACTCTTTGTTCAAGCGTGATCTTTATACTTGACAGCATCTAATTCCAGATCAGATGTTCGTCTTACACAAGTAAGAGATTGTGTAAAAATATCAATATTCACTGAAGCGAGAACTTAATTTTGTTTGGGATGATGTAAAATCCAAAAATCTATATTTGTTTCATGAAATTGGAAACAGAGGGTACCCTGAACCATACTGGTTAGCTACATAACCCTCTAACAACTCCAAATGATTTTATTGTTTTGATGTTCATAGGATCTTACTGATATCAAATGGAGCTTTAAATGGAGGCAAAATGTGAATTAAGAGAAAATTATAGGCAGTAATTACTAAACACTGATTGGATATAGGCAGCATCAAAGGGTTGTATTCAATTCAAGAGTATAGGAAAAGTCCAGAGTTTGTAAAGAATAGAGCCAAAGAGGCTTCAGACAAACATAACCCCATTCATTAGTAAAGATTCATGATTTTGTGAACAATTCTTCATCAGTGAACAATTATTCTAAATAGTAAATATTTCTTCATTGGTGAACATTTCTTCGTTAGGGAACACAGTTATAACTGAGATAGTGAGTCAGAGTGGCATATGATAAGCAAACAGGTGAGTGCCCTCTAGGGGCTGCCCCAGGTATCATACATCCTGTTCCTCATTAGAGCCACCTCACCTTAATAAAACCCATCTTATCTCAGCAGCAGCCTGTTGGCTTATTCCATACTAACTCGCCTAATGATAATGTCTCTTACTTTATACTACACAGTGAAACTTGTATATCCGAACACCTCATTCAAACACTTCTCAATATGACCACTTTCTCTAAATTCTCAGTCCTAAATTGTTATCTTCCATTAACCTACATGTTAACAAAAATCTTGAAATGTTAACACCTGCAAGTCCTGCTAGTCCAAACATTTTTAGCTGGTCCCAGAGGCTGCAGGCATTTGGATTATTGTTTACTTTATATTTCGGTTATATGACAGCCATGTAGTGCTGTGGCCAAGAGTGAGAAGGTCAGAAAACACAAGAAATAGTGCAAAATCCTGGTTTTACAAAAATGATTATCTGAATCTCTTGAATGGTGCCTTCGTAATGTTTTTCAACTACCTCAGCTGTAACATCCTAACTATATTTGACAGGGAAATTTTGAAAAATCCAACGGAACGCAACAATGAAACAATTAATATTTCACTACTTCGTGGCTTACTCTTTGGTACCCTGAGAGTTAAGAGTCTAGTATACTAGGCTCTGATTAAGAGAGATCAACATAAAACAAATGCCATGTACGTGCATATTATTTTTATTAGGTAAATGGAGTTTGATTGACTTTTCTATTATTCTGATTAGGCAAGGCAAGGTCAGGATTATCTCTAACTCAAAGAAGCTAAAGCTCCATTTAAAAGGACTAAAAAATCAAACTACTTACATAATAATTGTATGAAGATATACATGTATACATTGTGTTACTGTATGATTTGCATCTATACAAGTTCACAAAGAACCACATAGGATAAGCCAACCAGCACATTCTCAAAGCAATTTAACAACAGTTTGTATGGATTGATTAATAATTATGCTATTATCTGTCAGCTTTGCTCATCCCAAGATGGCAATAACAAGGATTTATGTAATGGGAACTATTGCTCTTCATGACATGATGATTTCATCCGGAGTGTTGAATCTTTGAAACTAGAAGAACTATTTGAATAACATGCTAAAACAATGGAGTTATATTATTCATCTATTATGAACTTGAGAAAATAATTACGCAGTAAAATCCGCAGTTTTTTGCATTTTTCTGAAACATGAAACGATCTTTGACCAAGTCCAGTTTCAGCCCAAGAATAAAAACTATTTATTTACAATTTGCAAAAATCATCTTATGAATCTAATCATCTATGAATGCTTAATAAAAGGTGGTGCTTATATTTTGATATAATCCTTAAAGATCATGAAATAAAATCACCGGATAATCTGATTACTGATACAAAACTGTTACGAAGCGATGATTAACATACATGAATTCACCAGGGTATTTGATACAACAGAAATGTATAACAGTATATACCTTAGCCCAGGTATAGATTTCTGTCCATTTACCTGTGAAACATAATGCTCTTCCAAGCAAAAGTCAATACAATTGATTTTTTAGACAAAGCTCCATTATATCATGTGAAGCTTTACCTGATCTTGCAATAGGTTTCAGCCACAATAGCTATAGAATTCGAAATATTTCCTCAAGTAAAATATGAAGATAATTGATTTTGAAGAATTTCTAATCATTCTTTGTATTCTCGATAAGTGCCAGTAAGAGGGATGATCAAAATAATTTAGGAACCACTGGAAGCTTAAGATGAAATCTAAATAGAGAAATAATTTGCAGAATATGTATGGGACAATAGGCACCATTGTCAGTACACCGAGGTAATTTATATATGTGTTGTAGTATATACGACGATTCTATAGAGAAACGTCTATTAATTATTTACTATAAGTATACATATACACATTTAATATACCATGGCAATCATTATTATACCATGTAGAAAACTACAACAAATCAAGTAAATGAATATATTACTCCCTCAAATTAGTATTTGGTAGTGATCCCTCTAATCAATAGATAACTATAAAAATACTTGAATATCATTTAATTCAATATCGTCCATGTTATCTTAGCGGGAAACAAGTTAACTGTGGCAATGTTTTCTTTACTTCTTTGGGGACATGATATAATAAAGATATTGTTACCTAGATAGTGAAATATGGTGTTGATGTAGCCTTGATGCTATTGATTCCAATATCAATACAGTGTAAGGGATCAGGCTCAAGTAGAGAGAAGTAACTGTACCACTTAGTAAAGAAACACTAAAGCTCACATTCTCTGGTGATTACAAGTCTCGCTACCTTACTTCATGAAGAGGAGTGTAATGTCCCTGCTTATATATGTAATTGTAGCATTGGAGTCACATGCCCCATGATTGGTGATGAGTGGTATCTATGACAACCATATACCCTCTTAATATACAGTAATTTCAGTCAAACTTTGTGCAGAAGATGCGTCCCATTATTAGTTATATTCAATTTGGATTAAAACAGATTAAAATTGACAGTTTTAGGATAATATAGGTATCATTTTCATGAAGTATCAAAAACTAAAAACTTCATCAGAGCATTGAATTGTACTAGTAGTCCCTAAATCTCAGGGTAGACATTATTGGGGTTAGTATTGACATGTAATATTCTTAATAGATGACAAAAGGAAAAAATCTAAACATGGATAGACAAGATAGACTAAGATAGAACAGGAAAGGTTTTTCGATTGAATCCCCTCTAGAATAAGAATGGAAAAGTTAAATGAGGACTTTTTTGTAGCATCCCATAGATCTTTAGACAGTTTTTTTTAAAGAGTAGATCTGTTATTATGTCAGGCATAATCCTAGATCTGTTGTTATGCCAGGCATAAGAGAGATTAGATCCGTTCTCATAGAATTGAACTTATTTTGCCCAAACCTCATGTTTGCTGATGTCTGAGTTAAAGTCAAATTCTGACTTTAAATGTTGGGGTGTTTGCAGTATTTTGTCTTATTTTATTGTCTTTTGTATCACTTGACAACTTCTACAGTTCCTGATAGCGTTTTACAGTCTATAGTATTGGTTTACAGATCATTTCAGGTGACCAGTTGAACAAATAGGAGACAGCACTGGTATTAGTTTGGCTACTTAGATGAAAACTTACAATATTGAATCAAATCTAATTATATTCCCAAAATTCATCAAACAACGGAAAATATAAGTCCATAGTAGTTAAAATGTTTACAACTTAAAGTCTCATAAAAAACACTTTTGACTTTTGCAACATTCCAAATATGGCAAAGGCTCTATTTACAGTCATTTAACATTAATATCACTATGGTTTCTCATAATAATATATTATATATGTTGAGTCCTTCATGTCACTTTGACTGTACAATGTCGTGTTTATGGCAAATCAAAATGAGGATCATGAATTGTGTCGACATAACTATCATATTGTATCAAACAATATTTGATATACCATGTACTTCTTGCCTTGATATTAATAATATAAAGTCATCCCATTAACCAGATATTCATATATCTATCGCCTCCCCAGACATCCATCTATCACCTAATGTATACACCTTACACCCTATCACATAAAGATAGTTCTCATTTCTTAACAACTAAATAGATGGCATGACTATTGACTTTCTCTAAAAATGATGCTGTGTTAGTCATGTTCTTGTGTTTCCATCAATAATAATCTATGAATTTAAGCTATGTTTATCATTTGTAATTAAGTATTTTAATTGTCTAACAAACATATCTGAATCTCTGACAGCGACAAAGACACCATTCATTCATTGAAAACATGAACTTTCTCTAAAATAGCCCATAAAAAAGACCATGTAAACTGTGTTATTACGAGGAACTCAACAGGAATTTTACATTATATGTACAAAATACACAGTCCAAAACATTAGATTGATAATATTTCTAGTTTGGGGGGTAACAGAACTGAGAATTCGTAGGTCGAAATTTCAAATTTTGTTGATATTTTGTTTAGCTCCATACTCGAACAATTTTATAAACTATTGTCCTGTCGCTCATTCAATTTCGACAATTCAGTTATCAAACTCACCCATTCATTTGCCTGGGAGTTGAAGATATACAATGCTACCTGGGCAGCTGTGTCAATTATATCTATAATGAAAGGATCGCGATGTTGTAGCGCTGCTAAATTCATTCGTCCTTCGGCCATGGCTGCCATTTTCAAATTTGAGTGCGTGCGCACTTAATCTTCACTTCTGAATGAGGATCAACTTACATTAATTTTGTGTGCTATTCACATGGTAAATAACATTACAATTTACGTAGGCTTGTTAATCACGCTTTTAACTCACAGTATACGAAATTCGGTGATTTTAGTCCCTCTGCAACACTTGATGAAATTATTATGATAATAAGAGTGAAGCCTCTATGTGGCGGGTCACTGAAGAATAATATTTCTAATTTTCACCTTCACAGGCGTGAAATAAGCGCTAATATGGTGTCTAATTACGGTATAATAAGTAACTTTGGCTTTGCAAAATGTGGAAAATAACAAGGACATCGTGTTTAAATGGATTAAAACTAAATCAAAAGTAAATGTTTGTTGGAATACCAGTGAGGAACCTCAAGATCTAAAACACAAAATTATTCATGTCTGATATTTTGACAGTTCCCGGATGATTGGTTTCAAATAAAATGATGAAGAACACTGATAAATATAAGAAATCAAAGTACCTTTAGTTCTACAAGGATTTATTTAAGCAGGTCAACAAAATATATTCACCATGGCTTTTCCTCAAGGTAATGTTACATTTTATTGACATCTATGTAACGTGTAATTCGGTATGAATATGCCACTGGCAGGAGAAAATCAAATGCGAAATGTATCAACATTGGTTTTTCAAGATTAAACATTGTAATTTACTCTAAAGTTGTTGTTTTTCTCATTACTGTAAGTGCATAGTGATCTTCTCGTTGATAAATGAGGTTAAGCAGCTTCATATGTGAAATGTAACCAAGCACGAACCTATTGCTATCAGGCACTGCCGTGTTTCCATTTTAGTCATATTTTGTGGCTTTAAATTAGTGACTATAAACTCTATCTTTTTAAAAAAAATGAGAACAATCTCAGTGTACCACAACCTTTATTACAGATCTAGAACATACAATGTTATAGGTTATTATTTTTTTAATTTTGGAGTAACTTAAAGGTTGAGTCACTAGAAATTAGTGCAAATGTCCATTTACATAAACTAATATTGTTCTTATTCCAGTATTCATGTAAGTCATATAGTATCAATCAAGGTACCCTGGTTTTTAATTTTTAATATCCTTTAGGTCTATGCAACAACCATATAACATTGTACGTAAAAAATGCCATGAAAATTCTATAAATGTATAATGTATATACATTCCAAAGCAAAATCCAATATCTACAACAAAATCTGAATATGAGATACATGTATGTTGTAAGGTATAACAGAATTGTAATTAATGTAAACAGTTGATCAAATAGATGTTTTCTTTCCTATCCCAAATATAATCTCTAAAAGGATCCAATTCTTATCGAATGATGAAATTATCTAAGATAAATCTTTTTATCTTGTGAATTTGAATCATGTGTTTGATAAGTTATTCACAATTAATGTGGGCCATGTGAGGAGTTCATGAAAATAGCCACTAATAACAAGTAATGATATCAGCCCAAAACATATCATGGTTTATCATGACGGCTTGCTGCCTCTTATTTTCCCTTTAAATATTACAAGATCAAGTCACACTTAAACTTCTTTACAGTTAAAGAATTCCTCATTTTATTATTCACTGACAATGACGTCATTGTATCCATGTTTACAACAATTGATTAAGGTATTGCTAACTTTGTTCTGTTAAAGGCCCTATGCTATTATTTATACAGTTAAAGAAATCACAGCTGATAACACTGTTGCTATCATCATCATTATAATGATAAATATTCTGTTCACTATACAATCAGCTGTGTAATAGCTTACGCTTGAGTACACTTTGGTTTTTATTAAGTTATTTATATGTTAAAAGTAAAAGCACTGGTTTTTATGCAATATTATAACATTATAAATGTAAACAATGGATTAAATAAAAAAGGGATTTATTTTCGAAAGAATTTTAATTCCTGATTTCTTATTTGTTATTATGTTTTTATTGAAAGCCAAGTCGGTGCATTGTATCCCCCAATATGATTGGTTAAAATCAGATCATGGCTTTTGAGGCAATATTTTAAACCTCTTATATGAGCAACCATTCAAAAGATATGTGTCTTTATTTAGCAGATTTGTATTTACAATTGTATAGCATAATTTATTTCATTATATAATAGATAATCCTTGTATTTCAGGATTAAATGATGAAAGGCAACCATATAATAGCAGTCCAAGCAAAGCATATAATCGCAGTGCCAGTGACCAAGGTCCTAGTCAAGCAGGAGGTGAAGGAAATAAAACACCCTCACAGTCACAGACTTTACAACAGGCATTTTCCCAGGGTGGGCCTATTACTCAGCCCCCTGGGCCCCCTCGTAGAGACGCCGCACCCCTCAGTAGTGCGTGGAGTACAGCACTAGCAGCTGCAGGAGCAGCAGGAACGATGAGTGGAAAAGGACGCGTGAATAAAAGACAAGTGCGCGGGCCGGTTAATGCCAACCCAAGGCCTCCCCGCGCATTGTTCTGTCTTTCACTGAAAAACCCTATACGCAAACTGTGCATCAGTGTCGTCGAATGGAAATATCCTTTTTAACAAATCAAGGTATAAATATGCATGTTACATATACCATATAAGGAGCTATTTAACATATCTACAACTTCAGGTAAGTGAAATTTGGATTTGTGTGTGTGACCATGTGGATGACTGATTCGCTAATTGATTGTGGGGCATTGTAATGCTAACATCCCATGTACATAAGACTCATGCCCCCCCCCCCCCTCTGTTGAAGGAAACATAATATTCTAGATAGAACACATAATCATAATAACAAACTCACACGATTCCCCTGGTTTGATCCCAAACAGGGAATTTTATCAATCAGGGTAAAATAATTTCATAACTTCAATTCATGATTTGTTGTATTCTTAGTTACAAGATTTTGGCAAATAAGAGAAAGTTAAAGTGAGTGCAGTATTTTGTAATGCACATGCACATTTATCCCCGGGATTTACCCACTCATGTGATACAGAATTATATATGTTATTGACCTTCTGACTGCTTATAATTGGTTCATGTTGGCTTGTTTGATTTGGGCATTAAAAAGAACAAATGTCTAAGCTAGAAACCTTGAAAATGAAATAAATGTTTTGTTCGGTGGAATTTGTTACACCGGGAGTTACTATTTTCTAGTTATTCTAGTGTTTTGGGTTTTTTGTAAGAGGAAGAAATAACCCAGAAATCCTAGATAAACCTATCTTTATGTAAAAATGTACATATCTTTATATGGTGATAGATTCATCTATGAATCCTGGGATTTTTCACTTCTGGTTTCTCGTCATACTCTTGTTTGCTGCTTCAACCAAGGCAATACAATTCGTGGCATAGCATTCCAAGACCCCTCAATTGCTTTACCTCACATTTCTCACCACCCCACTTATATTGAAGAAGCTTTGGGTAATCCCTTGATTGAAAGTTGGGTTGGGGGGATTTTTCCATCTTCTTGTTGCCACCTGACAAATACAAAAATATTAAAAATCCTCACGTTAAGTAAGAGAATATTGAGTATTAAGTCGAGTATTAAGTCATGTTATGAAATCAATAGTACAAGTGTCGCAACTTTGATTATTATAAGACTATAATAATGAACAAGACATGTTAAAGATGAGGCATATATAAATAGATTAGTTTGATTCAAGTAGCATCTGCAAGGTAGATTTCAACAATTAAGTATAACTGTAGACTCTACTGGAAACAAAGCTCTATATATTGATCAACCATTGATTACCAATCTCCAGGAATAATCAACAAGCATTTGTGGTATTAGAATCCAGATGCTCTCATTTTGTATTCTATTGGCTCGATTAGGTCACATGATTCGATTAGGGAATGATGGGAAGAGAGCTCCTGAACCAATGCAGGATATGTTAGATGCAGTTACATCAACGAACATGTCTGTACACTTGTGTTCCCGAACACCTGTGTATATCTAGACTGTTTTTTCTCCTCAGAAAATGATATATTAATACCTTGTACTCGATGGCTATTTATTAGACACCAATGTAATTTTAGAGAGGCAGATGCAGTCTAAGTTATCATATTAAATTAAGAAGATGCAGTACATTTATCTTGATCTGCAGGTTGGATGGTACATGCATAATGTGCCTAAGCCTTTACCTTACTAATAAATGATGTTGTTATTTTACTGTTGCCATGGTGACGAGAATGTCATTGATGGGAAATATTGTAAGATAATAGTAGAGGGGGACGTTTTCTAATAGTGATTTAGTATGGTTTTTTCCATTCTAAGACTCAAAGAACTCAATTCACATCTATCTACTAAACAATTTGGAGTTAAAGATTATTTTCTGGCCCATATTATTATGTAATGTCTCAGATGGAATATTAGAAGGTCTGTGTTGACATATGTGTGACATCAATTTATTTTTCCCCCTCTAATCAAGCCCTATTTACAAGTGTGTCTATTACATATTATTCAGGGAATGTAATGTTGGCTAATATTCACTATTATGTCGTCACACTTTTTATTGTAGTTTTAACTGGAACTGATTCGTGTAAATATTATCATTTGGAAGAGTCACATTTGACCTCTTTAAAAGAGAACTTCATTAGGTCTAATTATTACTTCATTAACTATTTAATTACTTTTAACCTTTGGCCCCCAGTATAAGAAATGTGGCATTTAGAGTTGATGTACAAGGCTGCTTATATTACATCATATTATCATTTTGTAATAACATCAGTCATGTCATTTATGTAGCTGTTATGTTATAACACTCAATTTTCACTCCAATTATAAGATACGTGTATTTTCTAAGTTTCTATTTCAATATATAGTGAAACCTGTATATAATGAACATCCACGGAGCCACAGAGGGGATTTTATACAGGAGTCAATCTTAAATGTGGCTTGAAGGGGTGTTCGCTAAACAAAGGTATTCACAAGAGAAAGGTGTTCACTAAGACAGTTTCTCAGAAACTAATTCTATCTCATTTAAGCAAACGTGCAATTAATCAGACAAAGAAAACAACAAATATGTGGCAAAAATGGTAAAAAATTTATTTAGTGTTGATTTTGTCTGAGAATTTCTAAAGTTACCGGTGTAAATCCATGTCATCTCATTGCGAGGTCCACAGCCTGTTTTAACCCTTTGTACAAGTTTCAGATAGAGACTCTGATAAATCAGAATGATTTCATCTCCTTTTCCAAAACCTTGAAATGTTTAGATTCCATGAGTATTATTAGCATGATGTTATCAATATTTGATCCAGTTCTGTCAGTCCTTATTTACTCAACTAAAAGCATTCACGTAAAAAAACATTTTAACCATATATTTGCAACTTATTTGTGCTAATTGTGTCAGATTTTATTCCCTTTGTAGATATGGTTCGAAGATAATTGCATTATCAATTAACAAAACATAAAAGCCAAATAAAATGGAGATTACATATATAAATGGGCTTGCACAGGTATGTGGTTGATGCCTTCTCATTACTTTTCTCAGTGGTTCCTAGTCTACCCTGAATCAAACAGACAAGTCTCAAGTTTATCCTCTCACTATTACAGATGTTACAGTATTGTTGCTGATAAGGTCTGATTGGTCTCAAATGTAGCATATATGGCCTATTATATGGGGTTTTAAATGTGCAGTATAGGGGTTAAGATATATGAATGCTACTAGGTAGAAAGCGTACTGTCTTGATTTTCTGACTACATATTCTGACATGACAAAGTGTAGCTGTAAGCCCCCCCCCCCCCGTCACCCATTTCACACACCACCCCCACAAGTGATGAAGTACTGATTTGAAGGAAGATTAATTCTCATAGAGGCTAAATCAATGAATTATTTTTCATCTTAAGAGTAGAGATTAAGCATTAGCTCTTGGGAAGGGTTTCGTTCTAGTCAGCCACTTTAGAAACATGCAGATAGAGTTGGCAACATACATTTACCATCTCTGATATTATAGGGAGCCTGCAGTTATTATTAGCTTGTCCAGAAATAACAGCTTATGGATATGAACTATATGCTGCATCTTCAGCATCTACCTTGCCAGTTTGCTTTGTTTCATTTCTGAAAAGTTCATACCTTGGAAATCCAAGATGCAGCTTCTATCATGAGTTAACTGGATACTTCTTTTATCTAGTCATGGAACTTCCCATTTTGTTATTCATCTCATATCCCTTCTTTCAAAGCATATGAATTAAACTAGTGATTCCTAATGAATAGACTGACATATTAGTTCTGTTCACATAAAAAAGTGAAAGTTCATTAAGTACATGTTTTTTTATGTCATGCATTGTTCACAGTTCTGTATTATATAATAAAAAGCATTTATCGGGTCTGGTTCTTTTAAGGAGTTAAAAAACTGTCAAACCATGCATGAGGGACAAACAATTCAAAAGAATAAATGGTTGTCTCAAAACGCTGAGACACATCTATGCTGCCATTCTTTTTTTTTAATTTCGTATATATTTTTATTTTTTTTGTACAGGATATATCTTCACTCATCCAAGCTATTTTATAGTCTTTTTCATAAAGGCATAAACTTCTCTTTATGAGTCTAGCTACAACCCTTTGTGCCCCTCCCCCACTACATACCTTCCCAGTGTGAGAAGTTTTCATATAAGTAGCAGAGGGAGGGGGGGGGGCTAGACTTACTTTTCTATGAGATGCATTATATCAGATGATGAATATTAGGATGTGATGCATCATGTTATATGCTGTAACTCTTTCTCAGATATATAACTTTAACATTTCCTGTTATCAATAGGCTTCTTTGCTTTCTTGCACGAATGGTAATCCCAATTTAGGATGAACAGACTCTATGGTACATGGTATGCATGTGTTGCTCTTATTATAAATTTCAACTGTTTTATTTATTAGTGCTTTCACTTATTTCATGATCATTAACAGAAAGAGCTCGGAAAAGGTAGCAGTATGTTGGCCCATAGCCAGGGGGGTTCGATGGGTTCGAGTGACCCCCCCCCAGCCAAAAATTATTTTACAACCATGCAGTTTTTCACCATTCTAAGCACTTTCTAACTGATTTTGTCTAATTTTGGGCCAAAATTGTCTCAAGTGAACCTCCCTGGAGTGAACCTCCTTGGCAAAAGTTGGCTATGGAGTGTGGCATAGTTATGCATAAGAGAGAAAGTGCTATGGAACAGAGCCTCCAAACTACCATATGCCAAAATATAATCTTAGCTGCCAAAGAAATTCATATATAATCTGATTACTAGTAATTAATCCTATATAATTGGCTGGATCATGCTATTATGATGAACTAGGTCATCTTCCCTTTCAAGTCTCATTATCAGCATCACTAAGATAGGGTCTGGAAACTTAGATTGAAATTATGCTAATTTTATAGATAAAGAGTATGGGTTTTGTAGCATGATAGCATCGGGCTTAGTCTTGCTTCCAGACCATGGACACCTCCTTATCTGTTTCATCACTAGGCCTGTTGTTGAAGCAGGGATTGGCAGGCTGTCCAACTGTCCCGCAATTTGCGTATTTGTCACGAATTTCTGGAAAATTTGAAGTCATGCCAGTTTTTTGTG